TACCTGTAAACCCAGCACTTGAAAGGCTGAAGCAGGAGCATTGCTGTGAGTTTGAAGGCAGGTCAAGGCCAGCCTGAAGTACATTAATTAACAAAACCATGTCTCAAGAAAGAGACAGAGGGGCCAAGGAGATGGCTCAGTGGAATAAGTGCTTCCCTGGCAAGTGCAAGGGCCTGAGTTCAATCCCTGGTTCCACCAAAAAAAAAAAAAAAAAAAAGAGAGAGAGAGAGAGACAGAGATACAGAGACAAAGTTTCACTACAAAAGAGGCCTAAGGATATCAACTAGTAGCATGTGCTCAGTTTGCTATAAATGATTTCTGTCTTACTGGGCCACATAATGAAGGGCACATAGAAACAAGAGAAACCGCTAAAGATATGCACAGAAGTCAATCATGAGCAGTCTTATAGCCTTGATTTTACCTTAAAGACAACAAACTGGGGAAAGAGATGATCAGAAGTGCTGGAAATAGTAACTTTGTTTACTTTGGAGAAAATACTCTAACATTTCTACAGAGAATGGGTCAGATAAAGCCGGACAAAAGGCAGGAAAGGGCCTTGGAGAATACAGATGAGAGATGTGGAGGCAGGTGTTCAGGCAAAAAAAAAAAAAAAAAACCAACAAAAAACAGTGTGGTTGGACAGGAAGAAACCAGATATGAGGATAACAAGAAAGAAGGCTTTGGATGTATGCCGTGAGGGGCGGGGATGACCCCTATCTGTCTTGGATGAGTGAGTAGGTGCTGGCTCCACCAGTTTAGACAGGGCCTTTAGGAAAATGGAGAGTGCAAGCTGAGCTAGGAGGATGTGATTTGGCTTAATGAGGCTGAAGTGCAAGAAGGAGGCAGGATCTGCAGCTCCTGAGAGGCTCCTCGTTTTCCAAAAAGGAAATGCCCAGAAGACTCATTCCTGGGCAGGGCAGAAATGCCTGTAACCCAAACTGGGGGCCTGTGAGGTATAAATGATTAATTGTTGGAACAAGCTAGCTCCTATGACAAGACATGCATAGGGTCAACAAAGTTAAGGGGAAGGCTGATTTTCTACTCATTCTCCATGTTTCTCTAAAATCCACCCTCTCTGCGTCCCTTTTCCTACTCCCATCCACCTCATGTAATTCATCAACAGCAACACAGTGCAAATCTTTCTCGATCCCCTCACCCTACATTTTAAATTTTCTTTTCTATTTGTTTTGCTAAATTGCTAAACTGCCCAAGCTGACCTTCAAATTTTGATCCCTCTGCCTCAGCCTCCCAGAGTGCTGGGATTACAGGCATGTGCCACCATGCTTCATCTGCATTCCTCACAGCTTTTACACAGTTTTAAACAACAGTATATATCTAGATACTTGTTTACTGTTTGTCTCCTCTGCAGTATAAGCTCCAAGATGATACTTTCTCCTGTTAATGCCACATCCCAGGTCCCTAGATCAGTACGTGGGGCATTACAGAAACTCAGTAAGTATGTTAAAAATGTAAGTCTTGATCTGAAACCTTGTCAAAATCTCTGCTGCCACCACACTGATTCAAGCCCCAGTAAGTAATATTAAATAGTAAGTACTTTTTCAAGCCATGTCCAATCGTGACTCTCAAAAAGTCATGGAGAACATGATCACTTAAGAGTATTTATTGCTCATTGTAGGATGGAATGAGACAATGAAACAGAAATAGAAGGTTTAGTTCACCGCTCAGAGTTCTGAGTTTCCAGGCCACACACCTGGAAGATTACAAGGTTGCTTTTATTATAATATAAACAAGAAAAGTGGCATCTATGGTGAAATTAGTAAAAGGGAGGGTCCAATCCCAAACAATGCTTTGGGCAAATATTGTACTCTAGATACTTCACATGGACTTACCAGTACAGAACAATAGAAATAATAAACTTAACTATCACTTACTTGTATACTACCTATATGACAGAAGTTGAACACTTTATTTACATTCTTTAATTTCCCAATTAATCCCATAAAATGTACATTTCACATTATTCCCAACAAGAGTCAGAGATTAATCTGTCCATATTTGTGATCAGAGAGTAATAAAGTAGGAACAAGATGTGAATAAAAAAAAAATTTGAATTCAAGTTGTTTTTTGTTTTTTTGGCAGTAGTACTGGAGCACTGAGCTACATCTCTTGCCCTATTTATTGATTGGCTGATTGGTTTGTTTTGTCTTGTCTTTTTTGTTAGGCCCTCACAATCAGGCCCCTCCCAACCTGAACAGAAAAACTACCAACCATCACTCTGTTCAAACAGGAAAGCCATGTCACTCAGCCTGAGAGAAGACAATAAATCTGTTTATCCGGATGGCTTCCAGGCCTGGTTCTCAGGCTTATAGGAAACCCTATAATTTATAAAATGCCACTCTGTGAGTCAGCAAAGTCCTACTGTTACCTGTACTTGTCCCAGGTGCTTCCCCAGAGGTACCAGACCCAGCAAGGAACCCCTAATTCCACAGAATGCCACCCTATAAGTTAGCTACCGTCACCCAGAACTTCCCCCAGGTGCTTCCCACCACAGAATGCCGCTGTCAGTCAGCAGAATGCTTCCTCATGTACTTCCCTCCCTTCAAAGAGGCACCAGAATCCACTCACGACCCCTGAAAAACTTAAGTTTTCCATCTTCCTTAGTGAAACACCCCCTCCCCTATCTAGACTAGTGTATAAAACTGACCCTTTTCCTTTGTTCACGGTCAATGGCCTTCTTGCCCTTGTCCAGGTTGCACCTAGCCTGAAATAATGATCTAGCTGGCTGCTTCAATCATGCCTGTCCTAGTCACTCCTCAGGGTCTAGCTTGACATTCTGAGACACAGTTTAGGGTTTCACTATGCAATTCAGGCTGACCTGAACTCACAGAGACCCTCTTGCCTCAGGCTCCCAAGTGCTGGGATTACAAGCATACAGCACCACACCTGGCCTATTGGTTTTTTGAGAGAGGGTCTCACGATGTAGTTTAGGCTAGCCTTAAACTCATTATGTAGTATAGGCTGACTCAAACTTGGAGCAATCCTACTTCAGCCTCCTGAGGGCAGGAATTACAGGTGAGTGCCACTACCTGCAGCCCATTTTTGTTAAGATTTCACTACATTATACAGGCTGACCTCAACTTACAATCTTCCTGCCTGGGATTTACAGGTGTGCACCACCACCATACCTGGCAAATTCAAGAGTTTGTTTGTTTGTTTGAAATTGAAGTTCTTAATCATATTTTATAGTAGAAATATAGGAGTCAGACAGAGCTGGGCCCTCCGGGCGTCAGTGCAAACGGTGCGGACTTCCCTAAGGGCTAACAGAGGCTTGGGACTTTTGGTGTCACCTTTTATTTTTTAGTATGGGAATGAACTCATGACATTGGACTTGCCAGGTGCTGTGCCACTAAGCTACATCACTGGCACTTTTGAGATTTCCTATTATCTCATTAAGGATGGGCCATTCTCTCCCACGTGCTAAGACAAAGACTACAGAATATAGACCACAGTTAACAATGTCACCCATGTATCCTTGCTACCATTAGATCCATATTACCTAAGCAGCTACACTTGCAGTTGATCATAATTTTGTACCCACCTCATCATTTTGCTCTATAAAACTTCCTGGTAGGCTCAGAGACAACACATTTGGGGCCACCTCCTGTCCCTCAGGAGCTATTCCTGTTCCCCATTCCCCCATTCCAATTCCTCATTTCTTTTCTCCAATAAAATTTCCTATTCACCTGTGTTGTTCCTTAGAATTCATTCAACTTCAAGGGACACAGACTCAAAGTATTTGACATCTAGCATTGCCCCGTATCAATATTTCAAAGACTAGTTGTAAAAACTGAAGTGTAAATAGTTAATTGGGAGTAGCAACACATCCCAGTCATCTCAGCAATGGAGGAGGCTGAGCCAGGAGGACCACAAATTTGAGATGAGCCTGGGCAATTTAACTAATTAGCAAGACTCTGTCTCCAAAAATGTATGTAGGGGTTGGGGATGTAGCTCAGCGCAAAGGGTCTGGGTTCAAACCCCAGGACAAGACAAAATAAAAAATTTTAAATAAGTTCCATAAACAGTTTATGCCTCCTGATTCTTCTTCACATCACCTGGCTTATCACCTATGTCTTAAGTCTTTTTTTTTTTTTTTTTTTTTTTTGGTCTTTCTGAGGCAGGGTCTTGCTGTGCAGTTCAGGCTGGCCTCAAACTCATAGTGATCCTCCTGCCTCAGCCTCCCGGGTGCTGGGGTTACAGGAGTGCACCTCTCTACACCCGGCAGGGTGTCCTAGTTGCTGTGAAACTGGACTGTCTAACTTTCTCCTCTGGGGGTCAGTTTCCTCCACTGGGGAGCTGGGCTGAAGGCCCCTGAAGCGGCCGTGGAACAATGGCAAAAAAAAAAGTGCGCGCGCACACGTCGCTTCCCGCCGCCGCCGCCGCCCCACCTTCAGCGCGAACGGCCCGGTAAGCGACGGTCCAGAGGCGCGGCGGTGCGCAGAGCGGCTCCGCTGCAGCCAGCCCCACGCGAAGAGCGCCCGGTAGCGCGCTCCAGACAAGGCAGGCACGCAGCGAGCGCCAGCGTGGCCCTCAGGACCACCATTGCAGCCCCCAAGCTCAGGTCATCTCTATTAAGCAAGAGGATTCCTGGGTGAATGCCCTCAACTCGCAGATGCACTCAGTATCAGGAACCCTGGCTTTAGCGCTTGCCACGAGACGACGAACAGCCTTTTCTGCCTCTAGCCTAACTGGCAGGACAGCCATGACAGTGCCCGCGGAGGCCCCTTCCCCTTCTCTTTCAGGGGTGGCGGCGGCGGCGGCGGCGGGCGCGGAGGCCAGAGCCCGGGACTTCCCGGCCCGCCCACCTCAGCAGCCATTGGCGGCCTCCTGGCTGGCGTGACTAAGGCCCTGCCCTCTTCTCGCTGGGCCCACTCTGAGGCGATCGCCAGGAGCGGCGCGGGCCTGGGAGGCGAGGCCGCAGTGCATCCTGGGCTTCGTAGTCCACCTGTAAAGCCGAAGCCAGAGAGCGGGCCCTGCGGTCGCGGAGGACTACAACTTCCAGCAGCCTCGCGGGTCGCGGGTCGCGTGGGGGGGTTCTTGTCACGTGGGCGCTCGGCCTGGGCGGGCTACTTCTCAGTGCGGTGGCGGCGGCGGCGGCGGCGGCTCGGGGCACCGGGACCTTTTGTCTCGAGCGGCTGCGGGGAGGCCCCGGAACGGCGAGGCCGGCGGCCTTCCCCAGCTTGCTCGGTCCCGGCCGCCCCTCGCGGGGGTGGGGGCCGCCCCCTGGGCCGGGCGTCGCCCTAGGCGCCGCCGCCCCGCCCTAAGTCCGCCTCGCCCGGCCCAGCCCGGCCCGAGGGGAGGAACCGGCTGGGCCTCCTAACGCGCGCGGCCGCCTCCGGAGTCGCTGCTCCGCTTCCCCGCGCTCCAGACCCGAGGCCGCCCCTCGCCCCTCAGGCCGACGTCATGAAGATCAAGGATGCCAAGAAGCCGTGTAAGATGGGGGCTGGGCCGCCGGGTGGGGACGGCGCCCCCGGCCGCGGGCGAAGCGGCCTCGGCCCCTGCGGGCGGCTGCTCGCGCGCCCGGCGCGGGCGGGAGGCGGAGGCAGCTTATCGAGCCCTGGCTGGGGCGGCCGCGCTCTCACCCCCTGTGCCTGCTCGGGCGCCTGCCGCCCCCTGCCCCTGTCCTCCCACTTCCTCTTCGCGAGCTGGGAGGTTGCTAGAGGGAGTTTTTAATTCGGGTTTTGCACAACGACAATGGAGCTACTACTCCCCTTTCGAGGCTTGAAACAGGGTTGAAAAGAGATGGTCGTGGCTGTCCGCGAGGGGCAGTTACCATCCATTTTCGGTAATTTCCGGGCTTCTTGCCTGTGTCCTTGAAATCGGTGGTTCCCTGAGAGTTGTCACTGATATTGCAATTGGCGCTTTTAAACTCAACGTGCCCGTAATGTGCCAGTGGGTAAATTGCCTCAGTGTCTTTTTGAGTAGAATATTAATTAGTTCGTGTTTGTGTTCGAAAATGCTAAAACGGGAATTTTAAAAAACATCCTTATTCCCACTACCCGGTGAGAACCACTGTTAATATCGGGAATAACTGTCGAGATTTTTCTGTGAATGTATATATGTGAACTTTAAAAAAAAAAAAAAAAAAAAAACAACTTACCAAACTGTGAGAAAAAGCAGATCTACTGATTCAGTTCTTTTATTTGTAGCTCTATAAAGGTTTATTTTTGTCATTGGCTTCTTTCATTGCTCATTCGTTTTGATTGTCATGCTTCAGTCCTAGGACAATTGGGAATGTGGAGATCCATGCTCAAAGCTTAGAATTCTGTTGATGTTTTGCAGTGTTTCAGGGGATCCTCCCAAATATTCTAAGAAAGCTGCGTCTTTAAAGAACACTAGGACACTGACTTCCCTGCCTTTCTGCCCACCAAGCATCTTATAAACCTCTTAGGAGACGAAGCCTCCATAAGAACTTTGAAAACTAGCTGTTTTGTTTAGGGTTTTGTTTTTGTTTTTGTTGTTTTTTTTTTGAGACAGTCTTTTAGATAAGCTCACGTTGACCTCCGTTGATTCTCCTGACCCTCATGTCTCAGTTGGACTGAAAACTAAATTGTTATTTTAAAGTGTGATACTTTGGTCTTTACAAAGGACTTTGAATGTACTGAGCTCAGAGTAACTTTCCAAGGCCTCCTCTACCAGCTGTGTGGTGATGAAGTTCAGAATCCTAAATCAGCTTAAAGTCCAGCGTTCACCTACACCTGTGGACATAGTCTAATATCCATGAAACACCAACTTTTATCTGATAGTTATATCTGCTAATTTATAGTTGTGTCTGATAATAAAAAATTCTTCATGTCGAGTTCTTGTTAAAGCTGTAGAATTCTTGGGATACTTTGAAGCCTATAAAACAGCGATGGCAGTTTAAATATCAGTGGAAAAGCACTTCTAATTTCGATTTGCCAGTTAATACATCTTGAACTGATACAGTAATGTGTGATACCTGGGCACCTACCCTCAAGGCACATATTTTCTGTTTGTCTTGGAATTTGCACTTGATGAAAAGAGTGTATCACAAATTTATACTCAACTCTTAAGGCAGTGTTTTCTTTACGTCCTGATAGTTGTTACTTAGATTTGGGCATACTAATAATCAAGTGGGAATACCATCTTAAAATTATTTTTAAAAATGATAATGATTACCATAACAAGTTTACAAAATAAACTGGATAGATTAATCAGTCCTTTTTTGAGACAAGGTCTCACTATGCAAGTCAGGCTAGCCTTGTACTCTTTGTAGGCCAGGCTGGCCTCAGACTCACAGTGATCTTCCTGCATCAGCTTCCTGAGTCCTAGGATTACAGGTGTATGATACCATGCCCGACCTGATTAGTTGAGAGTATTTATTGACTTAATAAGCCTCTGCTCTGTATGCTTTGTTGTCCTTTAATTTACAGCAATGCTAAAGGAAGCTATATGTCATATTGGCTAAACAAATGATTTGACTTCAGCCAGGTGTGGAGCATGCCTGTAATCCCTGCACTGCAAAGGCTGAAGGCAGGAGGACCTTGCACATTTGAGGCCAGCATGAAGTACATAGTGAGAATTTGTCTCAGAAAATGGGAAGAAAAAAATGACAAGTGATTTGACTTTATACATTTTCTCATATTAATTCCCTATATGGGGCTGGGAAGATAACTTAGCAGCATAAACCTGGCAAGCTCAAGATCCCAAACTCTACCCCTGGTTATCACACACACACACACACACAAATTCTTTAAGTGTTAGAAAGCATTACTTTTATGTACATCACCAATATGTTACCAAGTTATAAGCCAAATGCTTTTATCAACCAGAAAATTTTACAAGGAATTATTTTGCCATGTAGTTGTATAACTAGAAGATTAGCATTTGAATTTCTGTGTTAATTCAATCCCAGGCAAAGGAAAGTAAATCTATGTACTCTAGCTGACATGGTTTCTTCAGGTATACATTTTTCAGCTTGTGTTTTATTTAACCTATATGTTATATAACTAGATCAACAAATACCGCTAAATGGGTAGTGTAGATTTTAAGTTAATTCTTTGCTAACCCAAGTAGTAAGGCCCTGGAAACTTGTCAGGCACAGAGAATTGGATAGCCTATGTGTATAGTCACCTTCCCCATAAGTTGACCTGTTGGTAAATTTAGTTTAGAATTATTATCACTTCCAGTAGATGAGAAGGTACATTTGAAGGAAATAGCTTGTAATATATCTCTCCTTAGGAGTATTTTATTATAGAAAATTTTGTGAAAATGTCTCCTAAGGAATCTTAAATACGGAAATGTGTTAAGATGAGTAGTGACCAAATATGTTACTTGGAATGATTGCTAAAGTGAAATGTCTTTTATCTAAGAATCTGAAGCATATCTGAAATTTGCCAGTGTACATGCTCAGTTTAGAATTTTGTCCTTTAAAGTACCGTATAACGTGTTGAACATTTAAACATTTGGCTTCTCTTTTTATGTATAACAAGAGTTAGATTTGGTATGAGATCCCTCAGAATAGTACCTTCAGGCCACCAATAGCAGTGAAATAGTTCTCTAGAGAACTTCCCCACACCTTTTTTTTTTTTCTTAATGTATTTGGTATCTCACTGCTTAGCTCAAACTCTTAGTGATCCTCTTGTTTTCAGCCTCCCAGCAGTGGGATTAGAGGTGTGCACCACTGCTTGCCTAAGCAGGCGCTTAGTCCACTGAGCTATCACACTGGTCCCTTCCCCACTTCTTTACCAACAGAAAGGTACAAAACTTGGCATAGTTTTGTCTTTATGGCAAAATACACCACCTTCTGTTTAGTCATTTAAAAGCTCATGGCCAGGGAGATAGTTCAGCGGCATAAGCACCTTCCTGGCAAGCACAAGGTCCTGAGTTCAATCCCTCGTACCGCCAAAAAAAAAAAAATAATTTTTTATCTTCTTGTTCATGGCCTCTCCCCTTGAAAGAAGGTTGATGAAGCAGAAAAAAAAATAATAATAATAATAATAGTAATAATAATTGGTCATGTAGGTTTTCACCATTTGTATACCTGATCTACTTGGTAAAGAAGGTAATATAATTCTTAGGTAGTTAGGGGTATTTTTCTTAACATACAAGGCCAGATGGTAACTCTTACAAAGATCAGTTGAGACAGAAAATAAAGCTGTTGCTTATTTTTGGAAGGCCAAATAAACAGATCATCTGAAATTCTAGAGAACACCCAACTTGGAGAAGGTATTTATTTGCCATCACCACAGTGCTTATTTATATTTATAGGGTATGTTTTGCTTTTTAAAAGTGTGTTGCCTCACACACACACCCACAAACAGTGTATGCTAAAAGAAAGGAGAAGAAATGTTTAGGTTACATGCAGCACATAGGCTATTTATGTACTGATGACCTACTCAATCCATTCTGTCCAGTAGCCAGAAGCAGTAAAGCTGTAGCTACACCTGCTTGGTTCTGAGGACAATGATGTATTCCTTAGTTCATGAGATTCTTTTAGATGCATCTGTGGTTGTATTTGATGGTACTTTTATTTTTATTACAAAGAAGTAACCTTTGGGTTTCATTGCCTTCTCAATTTTAAGACAAAACTATCAAGCATTAAGGTTTTTGGGTGGGAGGTGTTCTGCATTTTAGGGAAGGGTCTGTAGGGTGTTCAGGGTCTCACTACTAGGTAAGACTTATAGTGATTCTCCTGTTTACAACCTCCCAAGAGCTGGGATTACAGGCATGCGCCACCATGCCCAGTCTCAATTTCCATCTCAGCACACCCCAGGGGTGGGGCCAGCACAGCAGGACCAGTGATCAAAGCCCTGGCCCCTGCACCTGCTTGCAGGTGCTTTAATCTCCTGAGCTATTTGGCTGGTTTGGGGGTTTTATTGCTGTTTGGTCTTTTTGAAACAGTCTGGCTGTGCAATTCAGGCTGACCTTGAGCTCACTTTGTAGCCTGGGCTAGTCTTGAGTTCACAAAGATCCTCCCCTCAGCCTCCCAATTGCTGGTATTACTGGTGTTTTTTAAAAAGTACTTTTTAATATTGGAAGATACAAAAGCTAGTGTCTAGACTACTTGCTAAATGATAGGAGTGGATCATAATTGAGAATTTCATTATTAGTGCCTGCCTCACACTTTTTGACAGTGAGTTCAGTCCCCAGTACCACAAACAAAACAAAACAATTGTTCTAATTTTTTTTTTTAAAACTCAGGAGTTTAGTTTTCTAATATTACACATGTATCGAGTCAAATGAATATTTTGTCTTTACCTAGCTGTGTAAAATGAATATTTTTTTTAAAAATTTAAAAATTTCTTTGATATAAAAAAATTTTTTTCTTTGATAACTTGCAAATTTTTTAAAAATGTAATTTTTGCAATCCATGTGTTTTAAGTATTAAATTATTGTTTAGCCGCTATGAACAACTAAAGTATCAGAGAATAGAAATAGATTTTGTACAGTACAATGCTGTCTCAGTCATTCCATAACAGTTTGACCTTAAAACAAGTTTGTGGCCTTCCCTATCCTTGTCTGTGAAATAACATACACAATAGAGCAGTTGCATATGGGTATTGAGGTAACTGAAAATTATGGCTGATACTGAATACTCAGTAATTGTCAGCTATATTTTGTTTGTTTGTTTGTTTTTTGTTTTGTTTTGTTTTTTTGTAGAGCCAGGGATTGAATTTAGGCACTTGCACTTGCCAGGAGCCATCTCCCCGGCCCTGTCAGCTATAGTTTTCATGGAATCTGAATCAGTTGTGCTTCAAACAAATTTTAAGAATTAAAATTTTGTAATTGGTGATACTGGAATAATGATGCATTACATGTATGTATATAAGGATTATGACAAATAAATCACAGTGTAGATGTCTTAGTTACTCTTCTCTTGTTGCTGGGACAAATACTCAGCACTCAAATTAAAGGAAGGAAAGATTTATTTAGCTCACAGTTACTGGAGGTTTCAGTCAATACTCATCTGGGTCCAATGCAGAGCAGCACATAGCAGAAAGCAACCTTTCATGGTGGTTGGTGGCAAAGAGGAAGAGCACAAGGGAGGGGTAGCAGCAGCTCAAGCAGCTGGCTTCTCTTCCCACCTTACATTGTAATGCAAATTACCTGCCCCAGGGCAGGGGCAGCAACCACACCCACAGTAATCAATCACAAACTCCAGAAGCCACCCCAAGACTGCATGAGGCTTTGGGGGGACACCTAGACACAAACCGTAACAGTAGAATAAACATGAAGAAATCAGACAGTGAAAGCCATTGGTTTTCAAATGGCCATTTAGATCTTTTTAATAAAGATCGTCTTCCTATGCAGTTCAGGTTGTCCTCAAACTCTTGGTGATTCTCCTCCCTAAACCTCCCAAGTGCTGGGATTACAGATGTGTACCACCACACCCAATTTGGGTTTTATTATGGTAGAATCTCATATACAATGGGTTTTTGGGGGGGTGTGTGGTGTGTAAATTTAATGAATTCCTCAGTCCCAGATCATTTAAATATCATTACCCAGTGCCTCTGGCAGAAGGGTTCAGAAATCTGTATTTTTGTTAAACTAATACTGAGGTAATTTTGATGTAGATTTAGGGAACCTTGGCTTTGTTCTATGTAGGCACATCTTCAACACTTGTGTATCTTGCACTATGCATGCTACTAAGTAAGCGTTTTAATTTGCAAGTGGACTGTAACCTAAAGTCCTGTAGCCTAGGGGCTGTACTGGATAGCTCAGTTTAAAGTGCCACTTGGGCAAATGCAGTCAGGTGCATAGGACCATGTGAGTCCTAGCTCCAGAAGCTGCACCAGACCCGCCCTTAAGGCAGCCTAAAGTAGCCAAAAAAAAAAACCTCAGGCTTGCCGGGATAGCTCAGTTGTTTAATGCACTGCTTGGACAACTGCAGTCAGGTGCAGAGGACCAAGGTTTGATTCCCAGCCCCACAAGCCATACCACACCAGCTCTTAAGGCAGCCAAAACTAAAAAAAAAAAAAAAAAAAAAAAAAAAAATCCTTCTCTAAAGTTCTATTGCCTAGTTAGTAAGAGAACCACAGATTCCAATCCGGACACTGTAGCCTTAATGTACTTATTCGAGAGTTATGATTTAACTTCAGCAGTTTTAACCAGATGTACCAACAAGCTAACTTTGCTTAATAAGCAAAAAATAAGTAGAAAATTTCCCTTTAAGGAGCTACTTTTCCCATGGGTGATTATAGGCCAGTGTTATTATATTAAAACCTTTATAGCAGGAGAAAAACGTTCAAACTGTAGGTAATGACCTATTTATTGAACCAAAGTTAAAATTCTTCATGTTTCCCATGGTATGAGGTTAATTATTCAGTAGAGAAAAGGGATACCTAATTAGGCCAAGAATTAAAAGGCCCAGGACTGTCTCTGAGTATTTTGTAAAGTTGTAGAAAATACACAAATAAGATTAAAAGAGAAAGATAAGTTACACATAGAAGATATCTCTTACCCAATTATTATTGACTAAGCACGTAATTTAGGACGAGTTTGGATAATTAACTGCCTGTCCTCAGTTTGCATTTCTAAAATGTATATATACTTTTTTCCAGCTTTTCCTTGGTTTGGCATGGACATTGGAGGAACGCTAGTAAAGCTCTCATACTTTGAGCCTATTGATATCACAGCAGAGGAAGAACAAGAGGAAGTTGAGAGCTTAAAAAGTATTCGAAAATACTTGACTTCTAATGTAGCATATGGATCCACTGGCATTCGGGATGTGCACCTTGAACTGAAGGATTTAACACTTTTTGGTCGAAGAGGGAACTTGCACTTTATCAGATTTCCAACCCAGGACTTGCCTACTTTTATCCAAATGGGAAGAGATAAAAACTTCTCAACATTACACACGGTGCTATGTGCTACAGGAGGTGGTGCTTACAAGTTTGAAAAAGATTTCCGTACAGTAGGTATTTGTTACTTGGGCCAAGAATTTATATTCCTTGTGTTTTTTAAATATGAGGCCAGATTTCCATTTAGAATATCCTTAAGGTTAGTTCTCCTAAGGAAGAGGAAGAAAGATGTATTCATGACTATCCTTTTCATTTGGGACATTTTGTACACTTGTATGGGGCCATAATTCCAGTGTCTCACTGCCAGGCGACTTAAATCTCCAGTATAGTACATGTAAGACTGTCCCATGCGTACCTGTGCCATTGGTGGTTCCGACTGGTAGAAAATTGTTACATGCTATTTGCACATAATGTTTTTTAAAAACCCGAGTTTAGGACTGTGCCAACTGGTGAACTTAAAGCCAGGTGTGGTGGCACAATTACTCGGAAGGCTTAGACTAGAGATGTGCAAGGGAAACTTCAGTGAACTTGGCAGTTTTAAGTCAGTTATAAGGGGGGGTTTGAATTCTGTCATTATTAGTACCCTATATACCTCTGGGTTTTTCTGAATAATTCATGTCATTTCTCCCAGGGCATATTCTGTCTAAAATCCTGGTTAGTTAGTATACATGTAAATAGTGTTACCCATTTTTCTTGGTTTTGTACCATCAAACTTGCTGTGTTCTTTTCTTGGAGTTATGAGTACAGTAGGTTCCCAACTTTCAAAAGAGTTCCATTCTGGCAGTACATTGGTAAATTGCATTCAATTGTAAGTGGTCAAAATGAGTCATACACCTTGGACACAGATACCACGTGCATTGCTTTAGGCTTCCTAGCAGGCTTCTCCACATCCTCACCGCTTTTCCTCTTGCTTGCGGACACCCTGGACTGACTGAGCACTGCACTACTACTGCACACTATCACACTCTAAGCACACAGCAACACCACTGTGACAATGTCTGGCAGACATGTAAGCTACTTCTGTGATTTAGTTGCATCTGCAAATGTTTATAAAAAGATGAAGTCTATTCATATCAGTGAAGGCTTGCAAGTTTAGTGTTCATAAATCAAGGACTTCACTGTTGATTTTACTTACATGCTATTGGGACTTTGCAAAGCTGATACTTTGTTTGTGAGATGGACTCTATGTAGTCCATGCTGGCCTTGAACTCACTTATACAGCCCAGGATGGCTACCAACTCAGGACATTTCCCTTCCCTCAGCCTCCCAAGTGCTGGAATTACAGGCATTGCCACCACACCCATCTTCACAGCTGGTATTTGATGCTGCTGAAATTTGTTTTCTCTGAGAGTACAGATGTGGAGTATTTAATTTTTCACAATCATGTAAAATTCAGTAGAACATTCACTTATGTAGTTCATGTAAATAAGCTTATCACTTGGGATAGTTTGATCTAGTTTTACTTTTTTTCTATTGATGGGTAAATCTGGTAAGTATTTAGTGAGTATGAATTTGCAGATAATTTGCCTGGATATGGCAGTATTTTTGTTTTGTTTTGTTTTTTGTCTTTTTGAAACAGTCTTGTTATGCAAGTCAGGCTGGCCTTGAGCTCACTTTGTAGCCTTGGTTGGTCTCAAACTCACAGACAACCCTCCTACCTCAGCCTCCCCTTTGCTGAGATTGCAGGCATGTGCCACCACACCCAGCCACAGTATTTATTGTTTGCCAGGATTCTTACTAAAAGCAGTGTCCTTGCTGCTAGCTTTCACCTGGCCAGTGAAGTACTGGTAGCCAGATGTGGAGGGTGTTATTGTCTTTTGCTCTGTTTTTCTTTTTGTATTTAGCAGAGGGTCTCACTACACAGATTGGACTCATAGTGATTGTCCTGTGTTCAGCCTCCCAAGAGTTCAGATTACAGGCGTGCATCACCATGCCCAGTCTCAGTGACCTTCTCAGTGTGCCTCGCGGGTGGGGCCGGCACAGCAAGCCGGGGATCAAATCCTAACTGCTGCACTCTGCCTAAGCAGGCACTTTAGTCCGCTGAGCTATCAGCCCGGCCCTGTGAAGGGTTTTATTTTTTACTTTTCATTTGTGTGAGTGGGGATTAACCCCAGGACTTTCAGAGTTACCTCCTCAGTTCTGTATTTTGAGAAAGGGTCTAAGTTGCCTGGGCTGTATTCTGACTTTGCTTTCCTGCCTCAGTCTTCCAGAGTGCTAGGATAATAGATTTGTGCAACCCTAACTGGCTGATGTTCTAATAAGACACAGAGATAGCCCTCAAAGAATATGATTATTTTTGCTGGGCATGGTGATACACCCCTGTAATCCTAGAGCTTGGGAGGCTGAGGCAGAAGAATCCATGTGTGTTTAGGCCAGCCTGAGCTACCTAGTGAGTTCAAGGCCAGCCTGAAGTACATAGCAGGAGAGTATGGTTATTCTAGACATCACAGCTTTGTGACTTCTAATTGAAAGTATAGTATATCACAATATACTCTTATCTAACTTGAAATGAATTAGTAATTTCAAACTGTCTTTGTATAACCCTATTAGCTGGTATGATCATTCCAGGACACAAAGTCATTAAATGTTTGCACCTATATAGATTCATGAAGACAAAAGCTACAGATGACAGATTGACACAGTATATTTTGTTAGAGAATCAGAATCCATAAGCTGTGATACTGTGGGTAACATTTCCAAGATGCTGATCAGTGCTTAGCAAAACAAAATAGTAAAAGTACAATATTTATGTTTGTGTGGTGGTTGAATTCCTAGCAAATTCAGTATGTTAGAACCATGTGATGATTTGTTTATACACACAAATAAAATACTTGTTCTTATGTAGGTTTAGATCATCATAAATAAGCATATGGGAGTTCCATATGTGATGTGCCATGGGTCGTGCTGAGATTGGGCATGGAACAGGAGTATCACCACAAGTCCGATCCGTGTAGTGAGACCCTGTACACCCTGCACTAAAATATATAAGCATATGAAAATTGCCCGGTGGAGTTGAGTCAAGTATTTCAAATGTTGCCTTCCACTTAAATTTACTTTTTCAATTTTTACAGATTGGAAACCTCCACCTGCACAAACTGGATGAACTGGACTGCCTTGTAAAGGGCTTGCTGTATATAGATTCTGTCAGTTTCAATGGACAAGCAGAGTGCTATTATTTTGCTAATGCCTCAGAACCTGAGCGATGCCAAAAGATGCCTTTTAACCTAGATGATCCCTATCCACTGCTGGTAGTGAACATTGGCTCAGGCGTCAGTATTTTAGCAGTCCATTCCAAAGACAACTATAAGCGAGTGACTGGGACAAGGTAGTAGTAACCTTTTTTTTTAAGTATTCACATATTTTAGTCATGCAAATTATGAAGTACATATATTGAATGATTGGAGTATGTACTGGGGATCAAACCCAGGTCCTTACACTTTCTAGACAAGACTACCACTGCAACAGCCTCAACCATGAAATTAATATAATGATGCTAGCTTTAACTGGAAAATGACATGTATTTGTATTAGATGTAGAAGTTAAAATGTTGCAGATAATATTTTTGTAAGATACATATGTAAAGATTCAGTTAGCACTAAAATCCTTAAATGTTTATCACTTGGTATCCAAGTTTTCATATTAATGAGTGATTTTTTTTTTTTTTTTGCGGTACTGGGGATTGAACTCAGGACCCTGTGCTTGCCAGGCAGGGTCTACTCAGCTATCTCCATGGCCCTAACGAGTGAATTTTTACTTAGAATGATTCTAATGATTTTCAGAATTTGGTAAAAGTGATAGAAGTAGAAGTGTTTTATTGATTTCAGGATTAAAGTGTTTGTATTGTATTTTTTTATTTCCAAAGTGGTTTTTGTGTTGTTGTTGTTGTTGTTGTTGTTGTTGTTGTTGTTAAGTGTGTATGTACTAGATAGATTTGCTTTTTAAAAAATGTATTTGGTACACAGTCTCACTACACAGCTTGAACTTGTGATCTTCCCGATTTTAGCCTCCTGAGCACTGGGATTATAGGCTTGCACCACCCTGCCTGGTCTTGGTGTTGCTGGGGGTTAAATCCTGGTCCCTGCCCTTGCCGAAGCAGGCACTTAGTCCACTGAGCTTACTGGTCCTAGATTTACATTTAAACCATGGTATTGGGTAGCATTGTAATGTTTACACAAAGATTAATATGATCTATTAATGTTCCATAAGGTCCATAAAATATATAATGAATGGAATAGAAAAAGATAGATTTTTCATTTTTTTAACCATTATTCTATGTATTTTATCACCTTTTAAGGTGAGGCAGACTCTTGTTTAGTTAAAAAACAAAAACCTTGGCATTGATTTGTAGGAAACTTTGAGATTTGTGGGAAAATTCATTTAAGTTTTAAAATAATATTCCTGTTTATGATGCTTAAATGTAATTAGTATTGTGTTCAAAAGTTCATCCTCCACTGAAACACTATGCCAAAATATTATACACAGATACTCCCTATTTTGGTTAACTCTAAAAGACAAAAATTTGTGCCTAAATGTTCATAGATAAAACCTACTAGAGAGAAAAGACTGAAGAAAAGATTTTTAGTTTAGAGATTAGAGAGACATGATTTCGTGTTTTATTTATTTATTTATTTATTTATTTATTTATTTTGTGTGTGTGGCCAGCTCAGCCCGCCAGGGGGCGAGGCTGGCTGGCATGTGGTGCTGGGGAATTGAACCGTGGTCCCTGTGCTTTGCTCAGCTTAGCTTGTTCTAGGTAGGTGCTTTAGACTATTGAGCCATCTCACCAGCCCCATGATTTCGTTTTGTAAGCATATCCAAAAGTATAAGACCAGGGCCGGCCAAATAGCTGGGCCTGCCATGTGCCCCCCCCAGGGGGGGGGGTGCACTAAACTGGCAGTTGAGACTGGGCATGGTGGTGCTCACCTGTAATTCCAGCTCCTGGGAGGCTGTAAACAGGCAGATCACTAGAGTCTGATCTAATAGTGAGAACCTAAACACCCTCTAGACCCTTCCCTAAAATACAAAACAAAAAACAAGAAAAAAGAATAAGACCCAAGAAAATTTCCATGATGACCAGTGGGACATCAGTGTCCTCTTTTTTTGTGTGTCTAGGTCATATTAGATGTTAATTGTTACATTGAACTGATTTCATGTTTATCCACAGTGAGTAAGCCTTTTCCATAATTCTTGTAAACCACTTAAAATTACAGTTTTTCTCCTTTTAATTCATATTTAAGGGGCCAGGGATTTAGCTTGGCCTTGACTTCAATTCCTGGTATCCTGCCCCACATTCTTATGTTACTAATTTTGAACATTTTTCTTTTTGAGACAGGGTCTCACTAGGCCTGTCAAGGTCGGGCTGGCCTTGAACTCACTTGTAATCAGCCTGGCCTCTTCAGTGCTAGGAGTATGGCTTTGTACCACAGTGCCTGCCTGTTGTATTTCCTTTTTTTGAGACTGAGTCTTGTTATGTAGCTCAGTCTAGCCTCAGACTCATGGCAATCCTTCTGCCTCAGACTCCCAAGTCCAGGGATTACAGGTGTGTCCACCATGTCCAGCTTTTAACATTCTTTTTTAATGCACACATAAAAATGTATTTTTAGCAACTACAAAGTGTAAAGTATAATATAACCCCCCCACTTGATCTAATTGTAGAAGTATGCTTGTATTGAACAGTTTTTACTGCCTTTCACTAGGATTTAGCAATGTGTTCTTTCTGTGTGTATACTCAATAAATGAGTGCACCCTTTTATTTTGGAGAAAGATTATAATATACGAAAATAACATTAAAAATTTTCTGTATTTCCTTTAGCCTTGGAGGGGGTACCTTTCTGGGTTTATGCAGTTTATTGACTGGCTGTGAAAGTTTTGAAGAAGCTCTTGAAATGGCATCCAAAGGTGATAGCACCCAAGCTGACAAGCTGGTCAGAGATATTTATGGAGGAGACTACGAAAGATTTGGTCTGCCAGGTTGGGCTGTAGCATCTAGGTAAGTTCAATGTTTATATTATTCAGGTATATTAAGATGTTTGGAAAGCTTATCTAACAGGGAATTAAAAGATTGCCCTTTCTTTTACCCTTTTTAGGTTTCATGTTTGTAACATTGATACAGTGGTTTACCATTTTAAGAAGCAGGTATGCTGGCACACACATGCAATTTCAGCACCTGGGAGACTGAGACAAGAAGATGATCTTGAGTTGAGACCAACGTGGAAAAATTAGTTCAGTACCAGCCTGGACTATGTAGCAGGACTCCTGCTTCCTGGCTACAGATTCGTTTTTTTGTTTTTGTTTTTCTTTTTCTTTTTTTTGTCCTTTTGAGACAGGGTCTCGCTATACAATTCAGGCTAGCCTTTTTCTTACTTTGTAGCCCAGGCTGGTCTCAAACTCAGTGATCCTTCAGCCTTAGCCTCCTGAGTGCTGGAATTACGGCATGCACTACCATGCCTAGCCGGACTCTTGCTTAAAAAGGAAAAACACTTTTCATTTTGAACTGTCTTTCCCGGGGGCGGGGAGATGGCTCAGTAGAATAAGGACGAGTTCAATCCCCAGTTCTGGAAA